ACTCCTCTGTTCTCAACACTTCCCCCCTTGAATCCTAAAAAAAGTTATATTAGTTATTCTTCTGTTTTTACAATAATGGCCCTCTACAATATTTATCCTTATAAAACTGAGTTCGTTTACTCTGCATAACACTGTCTAATCTCTCCCAAGTTATTTAGTGATTTTAAATACTGTTGTGTCTACATATTTCATAGTATATTATAATATACCACAATTTCTCACACCATTTGATTGTGGTTTGACATTGGGCTGTTTCTATGTTCTTGTGATTGTGAACATCAGTGAACAAATCTCCACTTGCGTCTCAGTTTTAATTTCTTTGAGATATATTCTTAATAGTAAAATAGCTGGATCATGTGGAATTTCTATGTTCAGCTTTTTCAAGAAATGCCAAACTGCCTTCGAGAGTGGTTGTACCATTCTACAACCTCACCAGCAGTGTATGAGAGTTCCAAACTCTCCACATCTTCTCCAATACTTATTACTTGCTGTCCTGTTAAACTTTGCCCCTGCTACTGGGGTAAGAGGGTATCTCACTATGGTTTTGATTTGCATCTCTCTTATTGCCGGTGATTTTGAGCATATCTTCATATGTCTGTTGGTCATTTGAATGTCTCACTTTGTGAAAATATTTCCATATCTCTTGCCCATTTTGTAATTGAGTTATCAGTCTTTCTCTCTTGTTAATGCATGTTGTTGTCATTTACTATCAAATTGAAATTGACCCATAGCTGACCTTCCAGTCGGTTTTCAGAGGCAGTTATTCACACAGGAGGAGATTGCCCATCCTTCCCACCTGTAGAGCAGCTGGTGGATTCAAACCACATGACTTCAAGATTGCAGTGCAGTTTTTTACCACCAGATGTCCACACATAGGAAGATTTCATATTTTGAAAATGGCTACCAATAATAATAGGCATGTTTAACATAATCCCAATACAGATACCAAATTCATTTTTCAAGGAAATAAAAAAGGCAATTGTCAAGTTTATTTTGAGAGGAAAAAGATCCAAATAAACAAAGCACTTCTGAAAAAAAAATTTAAAAAAAAATGAAGTGGGAGACATAGTACTCCCTGATCTCAAAACCTACTATACAGCTGTAATAACCAAACCAGCATGGTACTGGTACAATGACATAGACCAATGGTACAAAATCGAGAAACCACAAATTAATCCACATGTCTATGGTCAACTGATATTTAACAGAACAATCTCACTGATTTCACATGCAAGCAAGATTTTACTGAAGATATTTAAGAAGAAAACAAAATCTATCAAATGAAGAAACAACAGCCTCTTCAACAAATGGTGATGGCAAAACTGAACTGTTACCTGCAGAAATCTCAAACAGGATCCACACCTTTCACTATACACAAAAAATCATCTCAAGATCGATCAGAAGCAGTGCAACTTTTACTAAGTCCTCAGAATTCCCAATATGCTTATGTTGCTGTTAGTATGTACCACGGAGCTGCAACTAACTCATAGCTGACACTCCAGAGGATTTTCTGAGGCAAGAAATCATACAAGAGGAGATTGTCCACCTTTCTCCTGCAGAGAAGCTGGTAAATCTGAGCTGCATGTCTTTTGCAGAGTAACTCCTTGCCATTAAACCACCAGAGCTCCCTAATATGGCTATAGATTCCAGAAATAAAGCCACACAAACTTTATTAACCAATCTCTGATAATGGAGCAAAGTCAATTCAATGGAGAAGGGATAGTCTTTTCAATAAATAGTACTATATGTAAATAGTCCCTATGTAAAAGAAATAGTAAATAATTTGGATTCAGTGAATTCATCTTTCATAATTATTAACTCAAAATAAAGCATAGACCTAAATGTAAGATAAAATAACTACTCAACTTCTAGCATGAAGACTCAGATTTAACCTGGGGTTTGTTAACTTTTTAGATCCACTTTAAAAAAAAATCTGCAATTTATAGCTTCCTAGGTGTGGGAGACAGTTAGAATAGCTCAGGATAAGGCAGGGTTCAGAGCTATTATGTGTAGGGGTTCTATGAGTTGCAAGTGATTACACCACACTAACAGCAAAAACAAGGCATCAATTATTTGTACTTAACAGGGTTTATTCCTTAACATGATTAAGGAATTCTAGTGGTGCTAACTGAAAGGATAGTAGTTCTAATCCACTAATTACTTTATAGAAGATATGAGAAGTCTCTTCTGTAAGGTCTCAGAAAACTTATGGAAGTACACTTTGAGTCAGCAGTGGTTTAATATAGGGTCAACAAGAATTTAGTTTGGCTCAACAAAGCATCATACAATGTAACATAAGCACACAACATTATCACTAACCTAAAAGTTGATTATTTAAACTCATCCAGTGAGACCACAAGAGAAAGACCTGGAATTTTGTTCCTGTAAATATTATAGTCAAGAAAGTTCTATGAAATGAAACTTTTCTATAATAAATGGGGTTACCATGAGTTGAAATTAACAAAAAGTTTGGATTTTTCTTTTATCTGAAATTAAAATTTAACTGGATGTCCTATATATTATATGACTTTTGGATTGTATTTCTAAAACAGCTTGAATTATAATTACTTTTAAAATCATCAGTGATGCATTTGAGAGCTGAACAATGAATAAAAATGACAAAAAAAAATTGATGACTTTGAGACTTTGTGTTGGAGAAGTGTACTGAATATCTCATGGACTGTCAAAAGAACAAACAGATACATCTTGGAGAAAGTGCAGCCTGAGTGCTCCTTGGAGGAAAAAAATAGCAAAGCTTCATCTCACTTACTTTGGGTATGTTGTTAAGAGAGCAACATCATGTTTGTAAAGGTAGAGGGTCATCAGCAGAAGAGAGGAAGACCTCCAAGATGCATTGACTTGATGAATCAAGTGTGTCAGAGATGTTGAGGATGGAACAGGATAATTCAGGGTTCATATCTGCTGTTCATGCGGTCATTATGAGGCATATATGACTCAATACACCTAACAACAACAGGGTGACCTACTGGTAAGAAACTACACTGCAATCCCAAAGGCACATGCTTTGAATTCACCAGCAGCAGAAGGATGGCAGTCTCTCTCTATTGCAATATATTACCTCTGATAATTAGAAAGCACACAACAAAAACAATAAGCCATTGATCTCTTAGTGTCAAACCTATAAGCTACTGCAGAGATTTTCTGAAATCTTCATTCCTTCATCTTAGACATAGTCATAGGCTTAGATTCCACTGGATAGCTCTAGTAGATAAATGTCATTTTGAGAGTGTTTTGGGACATATCAACCTTCTTCTCTGTATCTGACCATCTTGATATCATTATTTCATGTGAGCCTTTGTTGTCTTGATTATCTAACAATCTTCTTTTATAACAGAATTTGGATAATCTTTTTAAAATAAAATGCTTTAAAATTACTTTGATCTAAAGATTTTAAATGCCACTTAACAAAGTAAAAGTATCATAAGGTTTTGCAAATCCAGAGGCAAGAAATTTCTGCATTATTTCTTTTTCTCTATCACTAGAGAACTGCCTAAAGAGGAAAATCCCAGAGAATAGGCACACAGTGGACACTTGAGTTAAGTTGCTATCTAGTTATTCTCCTTGTATTCTACATCTTGCTTACCTGATAATTCTAATTTTACCCATGTGGTTCAGTTCCACAAATTAAAAGTATACTTTCTCTCAACGAAAAAAACAATGCCATCTTAGATGTGAATAATAAAACAAAAATACCAAGACAATAATAAATGCAAAACTTTTTTTACCTGCCCATTGTCCCATTGACTGTAAGAAATATCTTGGTAAAACTTTCCAGAAGTGCAGAACAATACATTTGGCCAGTCTCACACACTTCACCAGGTACACCAGACATACCAACACTCCTGTAAAAATAAAGAACTGTTCCAGAACCTCCACCATGCCTGGATTGCAGCAGAAGCTCTTTTCTACTTTGCTCTGGCTATTTTCACAGACCTAGTATGTAGGCCTAGACTGATCTGGAGTCTGCCTAATCTTTGGGTACATTCCAGTCGGGGGTGTGTAGATAACAGTAACTTCATTATACAATCCTCTGATTCACAGTCTTTTGAAAAAAATTCTTTCTAATATTCTTTCTAACAATTTTATATCACTGTTGGGATTTTGTAACTGTTTAGGACCTGATGAGGACATAACAAGCAAAATTGAAAAAGATTAAGTCAGAACAAAAAAAAAATCTAATAAAAAACAGTAACAATAAAACAGTAATCCAGCTGTTCTCTCCCTGAATTTGGAAATTACACAAGGCACAAAATTCATGTTATTTACTTATTCAATAAATTTTTACTAAGTACCTACTAATGGACATCACTCACTCACTCATTGCCTCAACTGGAACTGACTCGTAGCCGATTCTCCATTAGGTTTCTGAGGCAGTACCAGAGGAAATGGTTTACCTTTCTCCCTAGGAGCCACTGGTGAATTCTAACCACTAGAGACATGTAGCCTTTGGGTTAGCAGCTCAATTTCTTATGAACTATACCATTAGAACTTCCCAAGGGGACACAGACTGTTTCTATTGTTCAAAGTATCAAGAATATAATAATAACAAGACAAAGTACCTGTAACAATTAAGTGTAGATTCTAGAAGGGGAGGTAGACGTTAAACAAATAACGTGAGCTAGCTGGGGTTGAGGGAAGACAGAGAAGAAGGGGAGGAATAATGTATACTGCATTGCAACAGATGATGGAGAGAACTGTTTTAAAGGGATATATGATTAGATATTATTTTCATGACAGGAGTTTAGAATGAAAGCTGCACAGTG